CTAGGTTCAAGCTTGTGATCCTCCCCCCTCAGCATCCCAGAGTGCTGGGATGACAGAGGTGCGCCACGGTGCCTGGCTGCATGCTCATTTCATTCCCAGAGCTGCCCTCTGAAATGGGTGCTGTGACTTTGCGGGGCATGGAGGAGGGACACAGGCCTGGAAGAGTCCCTCCAAGCGGCACTGAGGGACGTGGGGGACCGCAGCGCCTGCAGAGAGGTTGCGTTGTGTCGTCAGCGGGTGCTGGCTGGCGCCTGGCATCTTGCCAGGTCCAGCCCACGCTCACCTGGGCAGGTAACGTGCGTTCGGCCCAAGGCTCTGCAGCTGGGTGCCCTGGAGTGGCTGACACCCGGCCCGTACAGCGTGGCCACATCAGCCCGGCTCTGCCCCCTCTGCTGCCATGCGCTCTGTTTTCAGACCCAGCCTTCGCCTTGCTGGCCAGAACGGTGGTCCGGGGAAGGGCTGGCCACTGGGTAGCAGCCCTGACGCAGACCGCCATGGCGCACTGGGGCGGCTCCACGTGGCTGGTTCTCGCTCGGAGCTGGGTCCTGAGCACTGCTGTCCACAGGTGGCCCGGAGGGAGAGAGGCCTCAGGCGCAGCCTCAGGAGGGACCACAGGTCTCTGCGGGCCTGTGCTCCTCGGGGCAGCCTCCCTCCCCCTGCTTCCTGCCCGAGGCGCTGTCCATCTCGTTCCCCGGGGGAGGACTGCGCAGTGCAACATGTCCCCCGCCGCCCAGCTGCAAAGCTCCCCCGCACCAGGGTCCCTGCCAGGGCCGCATGCTGTGCCACAGCACAGCGCAGCCCCTGCAGAGGAGCTGGGTTCGCCTGGGACCCTGGGTGCGGTGTGGAGAGCTGGGGAGAGCCCGAAACACCCCCCGAGGCTTTGCTTTTTCCTTCAGAAGCTCTGAAAGCAGCGCGTCACCCTGTGTGTGTTCCGGGCCTCCTGAAGGACAAAGCCACAGACCCGGCAGAGGACAGACACAAGCACGTTGCTCCGTTTGGGGCCCTGGTTTCTGGAGAACCAGAGGGGAGGACTCCGGGGCCAGGCAGTCCCCAGTGTCGGGGCGCAGCCCTGCCTGGTGGCTGGAGCTTGGTCTTCGGAAGGACGTGGGCTCCACAGCCCACTGGTGATGCCTTATTCATGAGCACTGGGGGTCCCTGCTCTGTGGGGCGCAAGGGCCATGTGTACAGTGACCCGAGGACCTTTCCTCTTTGGGGGTGTACCCCACATACATCTTGGGGAACAGCTGAGTTAGCTGTGCTGCCTTAGCAACTGCATGTAACAACAGCAGCAACAACCTTGAATCACCGCTCTGCTCTGAGGCCTGCAGCTTCCTTTCTCTCTCAGCGGACTTCTGGTGGTGCCAGAAAGGCTGCCAGTGCACCTGCGGCTCCATTCCCTCTCACCCATAGCTGGTGTCTTACAAGAGAAAGGGATTTTTTTTTTCTAGATAGCCCCAGTAAACCTCCTTCCCTTACTCCTCAGAAGCCGCGGGACCCCGCAGGTGGCCCTCTCACTATCGGACCCACACGGCAGCGCTTTCTGCCGTGCTGACCTGCCCGGTGGACTCCAGATAACTCAGACATTCTGATCCCTTACAGATTGGCGTCGCTGCAGCCCTCCTGGGGTCTCTACCCAGCCTGCACAGCCCCAGGCGCCCTGTGGGCCGAGGCCCCTCTGTGTGCCTGGAACACCGACCGCCACTGTGGCGCCACACCAGGGCCTCCGGCGGACACCAAACTTGTCCCAGCCTGAGGGCCTCATAGCAGCCCGCATGGTGCTGGGAGGTGCATGTCCCAGCAGGCAGGCGCTCAGCTTTGTCGCGAACAACCCTTGGGCTCACCCGCATCCTGTGCACCTGGACGGGGCCTGGCTCCGCCCTGCCCGGGTCCACGGCGCTGCAGGGCTCCCCGCCACTCGCCCTGTGACACATGCTGGGATGACAGGTGGCATCCACGGCCAGGATGGCACCCAGCGCAGGGCACGTGCCTCTGCCACTCCCGTCCCGGTCTCTGCAGGACCGCGGCCCAAGCTCCGCCGCCCGCTCTGTGACGGCTCTTCCCATTGCCCGTCTCCAGGCCCGCCTTGCGGGTGCTTTTCCCATCCTGTGGGTGTCCCTGGCTCAGGGAAGGCAGACTTCCCAACTCCCCAAGTCAGCACAACAGCCAAGTCCTGAAACTGGTTTTTTTTTTTTTCTTTCCTTTTGGATTTTTTGAGATAGAATCTCACTTTGTAGCCCAGGCCAGGCTTCAACTCAAGATGACCCTCCTGCCTCAGCCTCCCAAGGGCTGTTCCACCATGCCGGCCCCTGAAACTCTTTAGCAGAGGCCAGGCCGGAGGGAGGGCAGGTGAAAGCCCTAACCTGACCAGTGAAGGACTCAGCCTCCTCTCACTCCCCACCCTCTCCCGCTCAGCTCTAGCGTTCAGCCTGAAATAGAAAGGAGCTCACATTTTATGATCTAAAAATAAAGGGGAACACCTTTCCCACAGAGGGAGGCACTGGCGACACTAAAATAATCCCAGAATTCTGCCCAGAGACAGCCCATGAGGTGACACAGAGAAGTAACTGGTTCCATGGAAAATAACAAGCCGAGAAGTGGCGGTCAGGAGAGCTCAGCATAGAGGAGCCGGTGGGCGGGGCTCCGGGCGGGAAGGAGGAACCTTGGAGTCCCAGCCTTGCGGTCTGTAAAGTGACTTTGAGACATGTGTCCCCCGTCTAGGGTGAGCCAGGCACGAAGAGATGGTGTCAATTTTTATTGTTTGTTTATTTGTTTGTTTGAGACCACGTCATTCAGGCCGGTCTTGAACTCATTATGTGGCCCAAACTGGCCTTGAACTCATAGCGATCCTCCTGCCTCAGCCTCCCGAGTGCTGAGGTTAAAATACACGCATGCACTGCTATCCCTGGCACGGTGCTTACTTTGAGAAGCCCGGAGAGGAAAGAGGAGAGAAGGAAAGGAAAGCTACAGAGAAGAAGACAAGAAAACACAGTTTCTCTTGGAAACACCTCTCCCCGAGACACTGGATTTTCAAGTCGGACGCGCTCTGGGTAATAACGGCCCTGGGCGACACTGGAGCTGATTACAGAGGCTCTGCCTGACCCGATCGCCTGCCCTTCTCTGTGCCGCTGCTGAGACCAGTGCCCTCGCCCCGTTCACGGCCCGGGCCCCTCTCCCTGCCTGTGAACGTGCAGGCCGTCTTCTCCCAGGAGCACCCCTGGATTATCGCTTCTATTTTCTGTGCTCACCCTCAGCACCCCCGGGCAGGTTAATCCTCTTAGCGGGTGTGTGCAGATGAACGGAGCAGAACGGAAGCAGCTTCTGCCTGCACTGGGCAGGCAGCACCGCGAGGAGTGACTCACGTCCCCCGCCCCGCACCCCACCCACACCGCGAGGTGCTGCTGCCCGAGCCCTGTTCTCGGCATCTCTTTCCCCCATGCAGCGAGGGCACCGTGCTCCCGCTCCCGCTCTGGAACTCGGGCTGTGCCAGCCAGGAAGCGTACTGGGTGGAGGTGGACTTCACCATGTAAAGCGTGCATCACAGCAGAGGTTGATTAGCTTCTAATGCAGTCTGGGGCGCGGCTGACTTTCTTCCCTTTCTAGGCGGCAAAGGCGCTCAGGTCCCAGTGGACTCTGTCACTGCGCAGACCGAGGGCTGTGGGGTGCTGCACCGGCTCTGGCATGCAGAGACCCAGGCGCTGGCTCCATTTAAGGGGCAGTGATGGGGCCTCGGGTGTTCCCCACTGCACGGCCTGGGCTGCATCGTCGTCCCGGCGGTCCGCTTTCCACCCTTCGCTCCTGGTGTGGATGCCGGCCCGGGGCAGAGCTGACCATGGGTGTGGGCCCCCACCTCCCTCCCACAGGGACCCGGGCCGGCCACGTCTCAGACACAAGCTGGGAGGAGCAACCTCCGGCAGGGGCAGGCTCCCAGCGGGAGGGGAGGAAAGAGCGTGTCCCCTCATGCCGGTGGATGCCATGGCTCCTCTGCACCGCTGCCTGGGCACCTCTGGGACGAGTGTCAGGCAGAGCCAGCACCCCGAGGCTGTCCCCCGGCAAACCTGGTCCATGTCTGGGTCCTGGGCGGTGTTGGGGGGTCTGGCTGCTCCCCGCACATCCTGATCAGTGTGGCCAGTTTTCAGCCAAGATGGAGATGAACCCAAGGGGCCCCAGGAGGAGGAGCCAAGCGCCTCGGGCTTCCTGCCTCAGGACAGACAGGCCAGGTGCCCTGTCCGCCATCCTGGGTCTGCATGGTCTCCTCTAGGCTCAGAGTCGCCGGAGGGCCAGTGCCTTTTAACCCCCAGTTCCAGGGAGAACATGGCCCGGGGGGAGCGCGAAGACACACCTGGGACTTTCTGCAAGTCCCCTCTGCACAACAAGAGGCCACACCCAGGGCCTCCGACCAGGGCCCACGGGGCCGGGCAGGCGCGCAAAGCAGGTTGGTGTGGACACGCATGCTCACTACATCTCCGGGGGGGAGAACTTCTTAATCATGAAAGGATGAGCTGCTGATTTAACTTGTAAAACAGAAAACTGCTGCTCTTTGAAAGACACTTGCAAAAATGAAAAGCGGGAGAGAAAATATTTGCAAAACGCACGCCTGCTACAGGAGATCTGCAGAACACGTTAGGGACCCTCAGGATTCAAAGGGTAAAGCAAACAGCCCGATAAATGCAAGGCACAGGATTTCAACAGGCACCTCACAAAATAACCCACAGGCGTAGCAGGGGCAAAAGCGCTGAGCATTATCAGCTGCGAGGAGAAAGCAGTCATCTCGGAGTTACTGCAGCCCACCGACGGGACCGCTGAGAGGACTGGCTATGTCAGAGCTGGCTATGTCAGAGCTGACTGGCTATGTCAGGCAAGTCTGGGCGGGGGGTGAACGCTGCAGTCGCACTGAGAATAGTTTGGCAGTTTCTGATAAAGTGATACATGCTTACCACGAGACTTCCAGGTTTTGCTCTTCTGTATCCAAGGGAAGAGAAAACTATGTTCCCAGAAAAATCTTTACACCGGTATTTCTAGCGGTTTTATTCATCACTGCTTACAACTGAGACCAGCCCGGATTTCTACATGTTGGTGAGTGAATGCACAAACTGGTGTCCACCCAGACATTGAGATTCTCATCTGCCTTAAACAGAAACCAGCTGGGCGTGGTGGTGCACCCCTGTAATCCCAGCACTCCGGAGGCTGAGGCAGAAAGACTGCTGCAAGTTCAAGGCCAGCCTAGGCTGCACATTGAGCGCTTGCCTCAAAAAAAAAAAAACAAAAAAAAAAAGAAAGAAAGAAAAGGAAACTCATAAAATAGCACGGCCAAATAGCAAGCCCACCGTGCTAAGCTGCACCCTGTGTAGCTCCCGTAGCGTGAGCACGTTCACGGGACAAACTGCTTAGGCAGAAGGCAGGCCAGCGCTTACCTGGGGGCGGCTGACCCCCAGCAGGAGAAGCGGCTTTCGGGGTCAACAGGGCTCTGTGTCACACAACCGTGTGCCCTTCGGAACAAATTACGCTTTAATAAATGAAAGGGAGGGAGCAGTTGGCTGTGAAGTCACTCTGATTCAGGGAAAATGGTAGTTCCGGGAACGCACCGTGAGGAAGGCGCACATGCACGGAACGGCACCCGCCAGGCAGAGGGCGGCTGCTTGGGCTCCCCTTCTCTCAGCTGCTCGCAATGGGCCCACCTCTCGGGTCCTCACCTGGTCTCCGCTGTCCAGGCCCCACCAGCACGTCCGGTTCCTCACCCCGGGTGTGGGCATCTGATTGGTCGGCTCACTCTCCAGCCACCTGCCAAGCTGCTTACGGGGCTGGAACCCCGAGCGCCGGGACGCTCCGAGGAAATACCTGTTACTTTGGGACGGGCAGCCGGCGCTGTCGGTGTGCTCTAGCAAAGCCGCAGCCAGGAGGGTGGGGCTGTGCTGGCGGCCTCACCGCACACCCATGCCAGCACCCTCAGGTGAAGCCTGAATTCCTGAGCTTGGAAGCACGCTCCTTCCTACTACCCCTCCCTCCGGCAGTCTCCGCGGCCCGCCCGCCCCTGGCCGAACGCAGGTGCTCAGCGCGGGTCTCCCAGGAGCCCAGGCTGTGCTTGGCTCTAGTCTGAGGTGCATGGCTCCCCCGGCCTCTCCTCAGCTTCCTCTTTGCCTTACTTAGCGCGTTTGATGTTCAGGACAGTGGGACACTGCCAGGACTGAAAGTCCTCTCTGATGCCATCGGGGTCCTCACCCCTAGACCCGGGGGTGGGGGTTGCCTGGGCATCTGTCTCGGGCCGACAGGGCTCCAGGACCCCAAGTGCCAGGCACACAGGTGCGCGTTACAGACGCAGACCAGGCGGCCAGGGCAATGCTGCAGGGCCGCTGGGTGCAGGGACTTGCAGGTGGGCTCCCCAGGTTCTGGGACAGCGCTAGGATGGCACTGAGATTGCCGGTCGCTCCCTGCCCTGCGCGGATGGGCTGTGCTTCATGCGTGTGGCTGGCTTCTAGCTCTGTGGCCGGGGGACACTCCCACGATCACGCATGACCTGGGGCAGGCTGCGTGACCCGCATGGCCCCTCCAGGCAGCAGTGAGTGAGGCCCACAGCTGACCAGAGCTCAGCTGCCAGGAAGCCACTCGCGCTGCCCTTTCCCTCTGCCAAGGCTGCTGGCTCGGAGTGGATCCTTCCCTTATTCTACCCATTTGCCCTGCTGACCAGTTCCTCTATGCGACAGTGCCCACAGCAGTGACTTGTGCCTGTGTGTGCCCTTCGCGTGCCAGGGGCCCTCCGCTGGAAGACACCCTTGAAGGCAGCGTGGTTGTGTCCCCATGCTTACCATCCGCGGGGAGATCGATGTTAATCAATTCGTCACTAATTAAAACTGGAGTCTCTCGGATTCTCCACTTGCACCAGAAGAGCTGTGTGGCTCACGCGGGAGCCCTGAATCCCCGGCTGTCCCAGAATCCTGCCTCTTGTCCTGACATCTAAGTACGGCTTGTACAGTTCCCTCCGGTGAGCTGCTCGCCCCCGCAGGCGGGTCTCTCGGGGTCCTTTTTACACAGCATGGCTATCACACCTGGGGCTGCCACCCCTCCGCGAGGGCCCTTCACAAGTGGAGAGGGGAAGGGAGGGCTCAGCTAGCATCACCACACCTGGGCCGGCTGCAGCTGCTATAGCCGCAAGAGTGGAAAGTTCAGGCGTGCTGGCACCCACCTGTAATCCCAGCTACTTGGGAGGCTGAGGCAGGAAGGTGTCAAGTTCAAGGCCAGCTTGGGCAACTTAATAAGGTGCTGCCTCAAAATAAAGAGTAACGAAGGGCTGAGGATGTAGCTCCGAAGCAGAGCAGCACCCTTGGGTCCGATCCTCAGGACTGGAGGGGTAGGGAGGAGCGGCAAGTTCACAAACCTGCTTCAGAAAGTGGAGTGGGTGGGTGCACTCCAGGGAATGGGGGAGGAAGGCCCGCCCCTGGATCTCTAGGGGTGGATGCCAGCAGGAAGACACTTGGGGATGCTCACCTCCAGTTCACAGGAATACGTGAAAGCCCACAGGTCCGAGACAAGGAAAAGCCAGGCCTGACCCTAGCCCCCCAGCCTGGGCCTGGCAGTGCAAGGAAGGGAAGGAAACTCCATAAAGTATTGTATCAGATCAACTGACAGAGTGGGACACTGATCAACCAGATAGTAACACCTGACTGCTATAAATTCACAAGTTGGGCAACTGCGCTGTGGTTATGAGAGATAAAGCCCCTTCCTCAGGACAGACACGTGTGTGTGCGGGGACCGGAGGGCCCTGCTGTACAGAACTCACCCACAAACGCCTCGGGAGGAGAATACCACCTCTGAGCGCGCAGCACGTCTGGGACATCTCGGGAGGCCCCAAGACCCTCCGGCTTTCCGGCTGGCGGTCCGGCACCGTGTCCTTGGAGAGGGTCGGGCTGGTCGGAGCTAAAATATCTGCAGGAATTCGGCCGCCACAGCTGTCTCCTGAGTCCTTCACCTGCAACAAGAATCCTTTGTGCTCCGGGGCTGCTCCTTCACTGGGGCTTGATTTTCACCTCAGGGGACTACGGCCAGGACTTCAGGGAGGAGGAAAGGGCTGGCCCCAGGTGGGGAACACCGGCGCTGGAAGCGAAATGCTGAGAAAGGCGCCTGAAAACGGAAAGGGCTGAGGCAACACCTGGCTTTCCAGCCCGCGCGGCACTTACCGGCCACCCTGCCTCGGGTGAGCGCCCGCTCCAGGGAGATGCGGCTTCCGCCCCGAGGGGCATTCCCGCGAAGGAGTCCAGAGCGCAGCCAGCGTCGCGCGCGAGGATTCACGAGTGTTCGGGACGGAGCGCGTCCTCCAAGAAGGGAAGTTTGCTGCTGTTGCTGTTTTTCTAACTCCACGATCCAGAAAAAGACGTTATCGCTGGGAGTTTGGCACGCTGGGGACCTCGCGCTCCTGTGGGGGCCTCCCGGCGGAGCAGTGCCTTTGTGCCCCGGGCCGGCAGGGAGGCTGAGCTGAGTCCGCGCCCTCACCGCTCAGCCAGGCGTTGCGCGCCCACTTCCCGGATCAGGACACTGAGGCCCGGCTGCGTAGGGGAGAATGCAGGGCCTGCGGAAGGGGAGCCTGGGGTCCGAGGGGCGAGGCCGCAGACCCGGGTTCCGT